GGAAGGCCTGGCGCAATATGGTTCATGGGGTCACGAAGAGTCAGACACGACTTAACGACTGAACAACAACAAGTGGCTATAACGTTGCATGGAAAGTCTGGTACAGTAGCTGTTCTGGATAACTTGTTAGGTCATCTGTGCACAGCTTAATTAAGTCTTCCAGCTACTTCAACTAGTTAAAGGATCATGGGACTGTATTGATAAGAAATAACTGTTGAACATTTTAACACAAATCTGGATTACAAAAATAATACCTTGTTATATTAGTAAGCAAACATAACATTTCATATTTAGGTACTTAATCAGAAAAGTTTTGAATCCATAGAATATATTCTAAAATTGACAAACTTTTCTTTAAGGTTACAGTTCAAAACTTTTATAAATTTATCCTTGTAATAAATATATGAAAATGAGAAGATAAAATAATATGTAAAGTAGATGATTGAAGATTATAAAATTCTGGCTTTAAAAAATGGGATATACAGAGCATACCAGAAGTCAGGTCTCATAAACAATTTATTATATAAATTACATTAAACGTTCAAATTGATTTCCATTTTCTTCTAAATAATAATAATTTATTAAATTTATATGCTGGCCAACTTCCTTACTCTGATGTATTACTTTTCAACATTCCTAATACAGTAACATTTTTTCTGAAAAAAAAATTAAAACATATAGATTGGCCTATGGGACCTGACTTATGGGATACCATGTATATTTGAATTTCACATACCTGTTCCCCTTTTCCTGCCTCACACATTTTTTAGAGTGAGGATAACATACCAAGGAAGCTTTGTTATATCCTTTCTAGGAAAATTTGGCAAGTGGTTTCCAAATAAACTAGGATTTATGAACCAGTCCAAGCCATATTGTATTTCCTATTCTGACTTATCTACAGGCTGACTATATTTTCTTGGTTAGGGTGATATAGCATGCTACAATTAACTTGCAGTTTTCTAATTTGAATTCTGGTTGTACAATCATAGGAACATGCTGGGGCAGCTAAAATTAGTTTGTATGTGGACCATCTTCATGTAACAAAGGGCCAGTTATGCTCTTTCCTGTATCAGGAGGCTCTCTGGTCAGTCACTCATGCCCTGGTCATCTCTTGGCTAGACTACTGCAATGCACTCTACATGGGGCTACCTTTGAAGAGTATCCAGAACTACATCTGGTTCAAAATGTGGCCACGTGGACAATCTTGGGTGCCCCATGAATGGCACCTATAACACCTTTACTGCATGAGCTGCATTGGGTCCCAGTCTGCTTCTGGGTTCAATTCAAAGTGTTGGTTATTACCTTTAAAGCCCTACATGGCGTGAGTCCAGGTGACCTGAGGGATCGTCTCATCCCCATTACATCAACCTGTCCCACCCGATCAGGCAGAGAGGGCATGTTGCAGACCCCGTCAGCGAGAGAATGTTGGCTAGTGGGGCCCAGGAGGAGAGCCTTTTCTGCCGTTGCCCAGAAAGACCTGACTCTGCCAGCTTGTGTGGGGTGATAACAATCTTACCCAATCCTAGAGCTGGCTGGTACCTTGATGACACTCCCTGAGTGACTGCCAATTTTAACATCTATCCTTGGATCTATTTATTCTCTATTTAAGATAATTGTTTATTGTAATTTTAATTGATTTTAACCGCTTTGTAAACCTCCCAGAGTCGTTTTGACGAGATCAACAGTGACAAATTTGATATATAAATATAAATAAATAAACAAGGATATGAGTTTCAGTATATTCTATTGCAGAAAGCAATAGACTCAGCTCAGATGTGAAGAATGAGCAAGGTTGGGGAAAAGGATGCAACAGAAATTTTAGATCTGTGTGTCCTTTATATTGTAAAAATTATCCTGCTTTATAGTGTTGAACAACTTTATAAATAATCTAGTGTGGTTCCTCTAAAATCTGTCTACTTTAGTCCTTAAATTAAGTTTACAGATAACAAAAGAAATTGCTATAATGTTATGGCTTGAAAATTGAATATATTTGTGCTCAGCATTGGAAGCAGGCTAGAAAGGCCAGATTTTCTTTGACAATGCAGTTTCCTATTCTGACTAAATGTAGGAATATGATGCACGAGAAACAGAAGTGCTGACCAATGCTGATATTTCCAAGTATCTTGTGAAGTATTTTACAGTTCTACAAATGTTTAAAATGTATTTAAATTTTTCAAGTTCTCTGGAAACCTGCTAGAAAGATAGGGTACCAGCTTCCCTATTTCTTTAAAAGCCTTCAACTCTAGGTTTTGTCACACTAAAATTTTAAATGTTTACTTCTTTCACATTAGGGCAATGGCTATTAAACCTGTGGTAGTGTTAAATTCCTCTGTCATAGAAGCAAAGCTTCTCAGAGTTATTCTCAGCTTATTTGGACTTGGTCACAACCAATGTCTGCTTTGCTCTTCATTGTGAACCTGATACTCTGGAGTTGATACTGTTCTCTTGGTGAAGTCAAATCTGCAGAAGTGTGATCAGTGGATCACAAGCAGAATTTTCTCTTCTCATGTAATTGCTTTTTGGTTTTATAGCAAAGTCTAAAGATGGAGTGCTATAGGACAGTATTTGGGTGGGTAGGTGGGGCTTTCTTTCACCTTTTATTTTTGATTTTTAATTTGCCTTTATCCTGTGTATGGGACTGAAAAGATTATGATCCATACAGGTAGTCCTCAGTTAACAATGGTAATTGGGACTAGGAACTCCATCACTAAGCAACGTGATTGTAAAATGTGATGTCACGTGACTGCACCGACTTACAATGGCAGTTCCCGTTGCAATCATTAAGCGAATCCTGCGTTGTCAAGTGTGACATCACATGATTGCCATTTACAACCTCCTGCCAGCTTCCTCGTTGACTCTGCGTGTCAGAAGTGGGCAGTGAAGGTCACAGTTGGTGATCATGTGACTGTGGGATGCTGCAACCATTGTAAGCGTGAGCCAGCTGGCAAGTGCCTGAATTGTGTTCATGTGACCATGGGGATACTGTGATGGTTGCAACTTCAAGGACCATTCGTAAGTCTCCTTGTTCAGTGGCATCGTAACTTTGAACGGTCGCTGAATAAATGGTCATTAGCCAAGGACTATCTGTACTTTTTCTTGCCATCATGATCTCTAAAATGTAACTAGTCCTTGGAAGTTGACTTTTATGTGAAATATTTTTCTTATATAGGCATTTCTGTAATTATTTTTAGCCTTAGAGTCATATAAAAAGGTAAATTTTCCTTTGAATTGAGCTTGATCCCTGATGTCTTCTTGGAGATATCCATGTCAGTGTCTTGGCAACAGTGTGAAATGGTTTGCCATTGCTTTCTTCCCGGATATTTTCCTGATTTTCCAGTCTAACCTGCAACCATGGAATTTCCTGATATTTCCTGTTCAGGTAGGGACCTTGCTTAGGTTTTTGAGATCCATCAGGATCAGCTAATTGTTGCCGCCTGTTTAGGCTTAGAGGAGTAAACTCTTTAATAAATTACTTTAATATGGAATACAAATATTCAGTGTTTCAACAAACCAGGTATGACCTTTTCCTGTCCTGGCTTCCCCTCGTAGCCTCCTATAGCATCCCCCATCCTTTGCTTAGCTGTGCCTCAGTGACTCTTCCTCGTTCAACCCCACCTGTTGCAATAGAGCCTGTTGAAACTGAGTCATGTCTCAGTTGTGTAAATAGATACAAGCTGGTTCTTTTCTGTCAGGTAATACCTCCAGGAGATTATGAAGAGAAGTTATTGTGAATATGAGGTAGTACTGGTTCTCTGCAAAGGTAAAGTTAGCGTATATGAGCAGGTAGTGGAGATAATTAGCCCACTTAGATAGATCTTCTCCATGAAGTGTTGCCATATCTACTGATTTAAAATATTGCTTTCCTGAACTTGCAGGCACATGCTTTTCTTACAAAGCTTTTTCTGCTTTTACTTGTTTAACACGTACTAGAGCATCGTTAAATCTAAGGGAATACTTTGAAATGGCTTTTGTGGGGTAATATGTAAGGGAGAGATAATTTCTGCTCCTTTTGATTCATCAGTTGCATTATCCAAATTTGTACTTATGTGACTTTTTGCAGGAGTATTAAGGAAAGGCAGGGAAGAAGACAGACAAAGATGGGGAGAAAATTATTAACGCCAGTTGTATAATGTTTTCCCCCCTCCTTCAGGTGGCGACAGAAAAGGTTGCAGGGAGGTTCAGTTCTACTCTCTCATGGGTGAAGAACACTGTCAGTCAAATGGCCAGTCAGGTGGCGAGTCCATCTGTTTCATTACACACTACATCCTCCTCTACCACACACTCCACTCCAGCTTTGTCTCCATCATCGCCTGCAGAGTTGAGTCCTGATGATATAGAGTTACTGGCTAAATTAGAAGAACAAAACAGGTAAGTGATAATCACTTTGACATTTACATTGTAGTGGAAAGGCATCTCAAGTTAATTTGGTATACTTTAAAATAAAGCTTCTTTTAGATATTTGTATTATGCTCCAGAGATATAAAATAAACTGACTCAAGTCCTGTCAGAAGTTTTATTTGCTTTGTCCCACCATCACTTGTTCAGTTTTGAAGCTTTTTATTTATTTAATCAATTTATATAGCGACCTTACTCAACATATGGCTCAGAGTGACTAGCAACAACATATATGTGTTTCCAAATGAGTTAGTATAAATAAGCAACCAAACTAGCAACAACATACATGTGTTTCCAAATGAGTTAGAATAAAAAAGCAACCAAAATAATGTACTTGTCATATACTTGCAGAAACATAATGTTGTATGTTTCTGGGAGTATATGACAAGTACATTATTTTGGTTGCTTTTTAAATTATTATTATAAATTTTATTATGTTTTCCAAAAAAGTTAAAATACAGAAAAATCAAGAAAAAGGAAAGGAAGAAAAGAAAAAGGGGGGGGGGGAGAAGAGGGGGCATAAGAAAGAAAGAGTAGCTTCCGGCTTTCCTTGGTACAGGTATAGATACAGAATATATTCGCCTCTTACTCTAATATCTAAACATTTACACAGTAAAAAACAGTTTTTAATCTAATATTTAGGAAGATTCCTAAAATCAATCTATTTGGATAATACATGTGATTTGTACAAGATATTTCTATAAGTATAACATCAATCAGCAAATCCCAAAATCAAAGTTGCATTTTTTTGAGTATCAAGCA